TTAATCACATAATTTATGTGTAAGTTTATTATTGTATTATTTTCTTTAATGATTTAAAATGTACTGTTTGTTTTAGGTTCAACAGTTTATTTACATGTGCTGTTACTTAAGCTTTCTCCTATTTTGACATATTAAAAAGTTGCATTTTTGTCTTAACATAATAAAAATATTTTTATTCAACATTCACCATCAGTGCATGCTGAATGTCGACATTTGCCGGTGTAAGTGAGAAATAATGATATTTAGCAAATAATTCGTACATACACGAAACGACTGTATGAATGCTGACATTCACCGGAGAATGTTGACATTCGCCAGATATCGGTCATTCACAGTAACATATACATATATAAAAAATTTAACGCTAAAAATAATGTACTTAAAATAAACATTTTCTATAAGAAAGTATTTTTAATAAAATATAAAAGTACGCAATTTTTTTAATCAAAAAAGAAAATCTCTGTATCAAAATTAAGTAATTTTGTTAAAACCTTATTTAATTATTTTGGTTTTTAGTAATGATAGCCTATATACTGATTTTGTCGTAATTCAATGGGAAAAAATAAAGTTACAAAATCATTGCTCGAAGAAAAATCCGTAGCTAGAATTAAATTACTTTCTGAAAAATAATACAGAGTGGATTAATCTTTGTTTCTACGAGATATTAATATTTTATAATTCAACATTCCATAATTAAAAAGAACATTGTCGCTACGATACTTGATGTGTCAGGTAGGACAAGATGGTACCTGTAGTGTTAACTAGTTGTAGGTTTAATGGGAGATGGTAAACGCAATATACATGTGAAAATTTTTATGAGAAACCGATCCCTTGTTAGGTGTTAAACATGTAAAGAGAACTCCGTCAAGTCCAAACAAGCTTCAACACCAGAAGTATGTGTTGGAACTTTAAATAAAAGGTAAATGATTTTATTAAATACATTTATATTAATTTATAAATTTTAAAATACAATAAAATGAAAAGTCATCAAAATGAGTACAATATATTAAGCTTGAGAATTCTAGAAAAGTAGAAGAGAAAGAAATTTTATTGCTGTGAATATTCACTCTTTGCAAGTGGTACAAGTGAGATTCATCGTTAAAGATGATACTACAGCATCTTTTTGTCACCATACCACTGCAAACAAAGCCGACGGTGGTGATAAGAAGGACGGGTAGCAGCTTCCATGTTTTGCAAATTTGTCTCTGCTATTCGCCTATCATTGATACGAGAAGAGACAGGATTCTGTACAGAGGCTTACACGCCATTGCAACTGTTCGTGCTTGTGTCACGATTAAGTTTGCTGGTAGTTTGTCTGGGGCGTTCAGAGGCTGCTTGACGTATATGTGGGCTTTCACATAGCCGCTCTCTCCAACATATCCTCACAGTCATCCCAGAAAGGCCCAGATGGTTGGTAATTTAGTATCGGGAAAACGAGAGCCATCCTGTTTCCCTCAGTCCGATGATGCAGTCTTTCTCAAATTTTGTCTGCTGTCTATAATGTCTTTGACAGCATTGTATAGTACAGGCATGCCTAGCATTCGAAAACTTTCACACATGCACACTGAAAATTCTGAACACAGTGAGCCTCTGCAAGCCTGTTTTACATGCTACACAGGTAGGGTTTTTAAGCATTACGTGGCGTCCGATCGGACCACAACTGTAATTGTTTGCATATCTGTCTGAGGCACAATTGCATACCGAGTTTTGTAGTAATCGGACGATTCTATCTGGGTACGTGACTTCTTTGTCAATAAAGTAAAACTATAATAGATGATAAATAATTGTTAAATAAGCGAAACTACAATTTCGTAAAATTAATTCTATTGATAATATAAAAAATTTCCAAGTTTTTTATTATTATTATAGAAGGCAAGATGTTGCTCCCCTTATACTAAAGTCCAATCCCAACACGTAGTCTTTCAGAGTTCAGTTTTTATATACAGTATGAAGAAAATTTATGACTAACAATCTTTTAGGTCTACACTGTCATTCCACAGAATACACATTTGGAATTACTTTAGTAAGCAGATATGGTTTTTTCTTTTTATTAAAATTCCGAATATATTAATTCACAATTACATAATTAATTTTATAGGAAAACTTTAACTGTAATAATACTTATTATGTCAGAGGAGACTGAGAAAATCAATCGCTACACATTATTCTGTTACAATTTTTAATACTGGTATATATCATGTCTTCGTTCCGAAATTGTAATTGCTGATACGAGGTTTGCAATATAGAGATGAAGTTAACTAAATCGCACAATTGCATTAGAATGAATAGGCTATACAATGTAAATGAAACAAAGGATATAGAGACTGCATCTACGTACCATTTAATTGTAATTCATAGGAATTTCAATCTTCTAATTAGAATATTTTGTTTCCTTATGTAACGAAAATGGATAAAACAAAACAGCTCGACAGGAATTCTCGAATGTCGATTTCTCGTGAATCGTCGTCACATTCTAACAAAAATATATTATTATTATTAATTTCTATATCTGAATTTAGGAAGGAAATAACATTAATTTTTATTTCTTTTCTTTTACATATAAGAATTCTAAATGTAAATAGCGTGCATTGAAATTGTCAATTAAATATGTCTTACACAATTTACTTCAGATAAAATAGTTTTAAAAACGTAATAACTGATTTTTAATTTTTTTCTAAATTAAAATTTGAGATAAATAATATGTTTAACGCTAATGCATTTTAAAGATTCAGTTTAAATATTGGCATTCTGTAAAAAATGTTATTAATGCATGACAGTCGACAGATGTTAAGAAGCTGAAGTTTTCCCATTCAAACTAAAAGACTATGATAGCGCTCCTTCACCCTGTCTTCGTGTTTTAAATAGTAAATGTCTAAGCTATTTTAGTTTATACTTCTAGCTTTATATCAATTTACCATTTCTTTTTTTAATTAAAACGTGAAATTTCTTAAAATTTAGACTTATATTATATAAATAGACTCATATTATACATTTAAAGAGAACAGTTTGAACAATCAAAAATAGAAAATACCTTTTGATATTATCGATCCAGCACATCTATAATAACGAAGCGTGAAGCATTGATGTTTTTATTTTCATATAAGAATAAGATCTGATGGACGATGGACAACATAACTTTGCGTGTTGCTACGTTTCGGGTAAGATTTTTCCTCAAAATAAAATTAATTTTGTTAAATGGAATACATATATTTTAAACTCAAATTTCAGATAAATGGTTATATAAAAATTCAAAACTTAAACAATAAAATTTGTTTTTTAAATGAAGGAGCGACTTCAAAATTATTTCTATTGTTGCAGGAGAAGCTTAATTTTAAGTAAGTATTTATACATTAATTAGCAGTCTTTTTGATAGAACTTATATAGGAATAAAATTAAAACGTTAGCTATTTTTAGTATTTTATATTATTAAAAAATCAAATTCTCGAAAAAATATCATCGATTTATTCTAATCAGAATTATTAATCATTATCGCTTCTTTAAAAAGGATTTTAGTTTGCAAATAGGTACTGTATCAAACAAATTACAATTTTAATGTGTTTTTGTTTTTAGTTACCAAATCATCACAGAGAAAATCTTAGGAAATAAATTTAAAAACGGAAGCTGGAATGGCCGTATTGGTTTATTGACAAAAAACGTAAGTAAATTAATATGCTTTTTAATTTCTTTTTCCTTACGAGCACTAAGAGAATCATTTTTATACCAAACATTGATTAGGCCAGATCCGCAATGGATTGACCAAGTGTGGAGAAAGCTTTTATTATATCCGAGTGGACCCGTTCCTCCACTCTGATACACACTTAAAAATTTCCGCTGTTCCTTTCCAGACTCAAACACGTTATCCCAGAGGATGACTCCTTTACTTCCTCTTCCGTCTTGCTGAAAAACAAATTAGTAAAACAGAAAATTACATATTAACTTTGTTACATGTTTCAAGACGGTCATTGTCTTCTTTTGCTCTATTGGAAGGTTTATACTATATCATTCTAATCTTTTATATTTTTTCTCTTCTCGTCACCATCGTAACGATTATGAATTTATTCCACCCAGTTTTTAATTCTTTAGTTGGATTTGGTCTTAATTCACTTCCTTTTCACTGAATTAGCCTCAACTGTCATTTAATACAACGAACGAATTGTCATCTGAAATCATTCTATGTTCGAATTTTCTCCTGAAATGCTGATATATGTAATTCAAGTCGCGTTTATATTTTCACATTATCATAATTGTGTTTTCATAAATTACAAAATTATTACAGGATAATAAGAATTTAATAAAAGCAAATGCATGATCGTAGAATAAAAATTTTTTATTGCTGTTCAGAATGATCTCTTTCAGAAGTTAGACTAGAAGTAGCCTATATCTGTAGTTTTCTATTTTAACTATTTACTTTATATAGAAAAATACACTAGTTTATAACCGAATAGAGATTAAGAATATTGATTACTGTTTGACTATTTTTGTTTCTGTTGTGTGCGTAATAAAAACCAATTACGCTAATGTATTTAAGAATATCAATGGCTATTAATAAACTGTGATGTTGCGAGAGCCTTTCTACTAGGAGAGAAAAAATGATCAATATTATTGTTTATTTTCGAGTACAATCTCGCATGTATTTGATATTCTATCCAGTACTTAATATAGGGGAGACCGGGGCAAGATCGGCATGTTAAGCTTTACTTAAAATTTGTGTAATAAATATTGCTGTAAACTGAAAAAAAAAGCTTTGCATATTGTCTATTGGAATGTTACCTTACTATA